GTGTGTGTGTGTGTGTGTGTGTGTGTGTGTGTGTGTGTGTGTGTGTGTGTGTGTGTGTGTGTGTGTGTGTGTGTGTGTGTGTGTGTGTGTGTGTGTGTGTGTGTGTGTGTGTGTGTGTTTGTGTTTGTGTTTGTGTCTGTGTCTGTGTCTGTGTGTGGGTGTGGGTGTGGGTGTGGGTGTGCGTGCGCGTGCGCGTGCGCGTGCGCGTGCGCGTGCGCGAGCGCGTGCGCGTGCGCGTGCGCGTTGTGGTGCGCGTGCTCGTGGGCGTGCGCCGTGGGCGTGGGCGTGGGCGTGTGCGTGTGCGTGTGCGTGTGCGTGTGCGTGCGCGTGCGCGTGCGTGTGCGCGTGCGCGTGCGGTGCGTGCGTGTGCGTGTGCGTGTGCGTGTGCGTATGCTGTGTGTGTGGGTGTGCGCACGTCCAACATTTTCACACAGTTGAACAACTGACCATGAAAGCGGGGTGTTCATAATCTGCGCATGCTTCGTAGGAAGGGGAATATCGTAGTACCGTGCGCTGCCACACGTGGGCACGCCAGCTCGCCAAGTGACATGATCGAAGGCGAAGAAGTCCACAAAGCCGCCTTGCAGCAGGGAGAACCGCTTGCTTGTTGACGCCAATGCAACGCTTTCTGCCGGTAAAAGAGCAAACTTTGCTACGATCGCGCTGCTGATTGTGATGATGATGATGATGATGATGAGGAGGAGGAGGAGGAGGAGGAGGATGAGGACGCGCACACTGCCGCCGCCGCTGCGCAGGTGCCAAAATAACAGGCAGAAGCAGGCAGGAGCGAATCACAATGAAGGAAATGAGGCGGCAGCAGGCTACGGGCATGAGGCAGCAGAATGAATGACAAAAAACGGCAGAATGGTCAATGAAGGCATAGGCTGCTCAAGCAACAAAAGTCAACGCCCAGAATCGGGAGATGGCCTTGCCCAAGGCCGAGGACCAGCATCAAGGAAAACACCTCGAAGCCCACGAGGATCCAAAGCACCAGCGAGTGGACTCGGCACATAACCTCAGACCACGGAAGCACCTTGACAACTGAGGATAGGCCACAAAGCAAGCGGACAATATCAGAGTGCAACAACGACGACACCACTACCTCTGTCATCGTTGTCGTCCTCGTCTTGTTTGCGTGATGATGATGATGGTGGGGATGATGTGGGAATGATGGTGGGGATGATGGGGGGGATAGTAGTGGTGGTGATGCTTGTGATAATCATGAACTTGATGTTGACATTAATGAGTATGATGCAGCAGCAGCAGCAGCAGCAGCGGCGGCAGCGGCGGCGGCGGCGGCGGCCGCAGCAGCAGCAGCAGCAGCAGCAGCAGCAGCAACAACAGCAACAGCAACAGCAACAGCAACAGCAACAGCAACAGCAACAACAACAACAACAACAACAACAACAACAACAACAACAACAAGAAACAACCAACAACCAACAACCAACAACCAACAACCAACAACCAACAACCAACAACCAACAACCAACAACCAACAACCAACAACCAACAACCAACAACCAACAACCAACAACCAACAACCAACAACAACAACAACAACAACAACAACAACAACAACAACAACAACAACAACAACAACAACAACAACAACAACAACAACAACAACAACAAGAAACAACCAACAACCAACAACCAACAACCAACAACCAACAACCAACAACCAACAACCAACAACCAACAACAACCACGACCAACAACCAACAACCAACAACAACCACCAACAACAAACAACAAACAACCAACAACCAACGACCAACCAACCACCAACCACCAACAAACAACCACCAACCACCAACAACCAAACAGCCAACAACCACAACAACCACAACAACCACAACAACCACAACAACCACGACAACCAACTCGCCTCCTGGGCTCGTGCTCCACAAGAGAAAGGCGAGGTCATCTAGAGACTCTTAGGATGCTTCAGGCCGCCAGTGCATTCAAGTCGCAGCAATGACAGAAAACCTTAGCCACGAGAACTTCTTGCCAATCACTTGCGCAAGTGATTTCGGCAACACACTTCAGTCAGCTCGAATCGCGCCTGCTGCAGGTCCCGTTGGGTTAGGCAAGCACACGTGTGAAATTGCAAATGAAGCTTGGGAAAACTTATTGCCGACATCCAGCCCACCAAATGCGTTTGTCAGGCCAAAAACCAACTGGTGGTCTCCCATTGGTCGCCCTGTACAATAGCACCAAAACGAGCTCTGCCAGTGTTTTTATCGTACCGAGCCGCCACAGCGCGTCACCGACCAAGATCTGCGGCGGCACATTCCAGAGCAGCACGTCTAAAACCCCCAGCCTGCCAAAGTTTGCACAGTGACATGGCTGTATATGCATGGAGGGTACACAGTCGCCTTGGAGAAGTGGGAAACCGGGAAACCAAAAGCAGAGTCACCGGTTTGGGGGCCCACGTGATCCTGACAATGTTCATCGTTTGTTGCTTTTCTGACATGATCAGCCCCATCCCTTGCTTCACGCCCCGCCTGACCATCCACACTGGCAGCAGCCAGGCATCTGACCAGAAGGACCAAGGGTCCCGGCCTGCGAGGAACAGCACCTCGCAGCCACACCCCCACAAAAGCACTGCGTTGTTGACTTGTTTGTGTTTGTGTCCTGTGCTTCCGCAAGAAACGGGTCCAAGTTGAAAGGTCCTGTCTGTGAATTACGGCTGGGCGCCAGGCCAAGCCCTCCAAGGGGACACCTCAGAGCAAATCCGACCAAATACCGAGTCTTTCAAAGTTGGGAATACAAGATGCCAACCCCAGTCAACTTGGGCACCGCGCCTACACCCCACAGAAGATAGTGGTTCAATCCAAAGCTGCGGCAGGCAGTTGCCTCCTGGGAGCTGAGGAACTGCACACCTCTGCCGACACGTCCCACTGCCCCTATTCGCCTCATCCACCGCGCTGTGGGCGCCGTCTTCGCACCAAAACGCCCAGAGGCCGCCTCCTTCGCAGAGAAGTGAGCGCCGCGCAAGGAGTCCAAATTGGCGAGAAGTTGGCGGTCCTACTGCATCGGCGCAGAAAAATGCGAAAAGTACCTGGCGAGGACCAGCTCGACCACTCAAAGCAAGCACTGCAGACAGCACATGCTGATTCTCTCATGATGCAAGCTTCCAAATCAGAGTCTACAGCCGGCGCGAGCTGACGTGGAAAGTGTGCCAGAATGCCATGCCAATCTTTGTGCTCGGTTGAACGTTGAACGTTGTCCCTCCATTGTATGGAAGGCTCCCCGCCCGAATTGGCGCACAATGCGGCGGCTCTGACGACCGTTGATCTCTGAGCGAATGAAGGCCTAATTTATTTCTCGGGCGTGAGGGACAACAACATATAGTTGGTATTTACCTGCCAGCAAGCATGCGTAGTGCAACACCCACTTCCATCAAACGCCCACGTGCCGGAGCCACAGTTCGGCTGAGGTGGCCACAGCATCAGTGGTCTCAAGGAAGGCCTGATGCCAGCTCCGCACCACTGCGCAAGCCTGGCCCGGCAAGCGCCAGCGAAAGCTTTGAAGACCTTCAGGCGATTTGGCAGGGCAAACATGATTTGGGACGTCTTTTGTTGGGGGACCCCGAACAAAATGAGGTTCTCCTCTTGGTTTTCCATACAAGCCGCCAAAAAAGGCACATCCATCTAACTTGGTCACAGAGTAAAATACGATATGTCTTGAAAGCAAGTTGCTGCCCAAGGACTGTGCTCACATGTCCAACTCTTTTATTTGACACGGGTGTGTCTTCTTTGGAGGGCCCTTAGGTGTCACAGTGCAAACATGTTTCAATGGGAAATATAGCACCAAAAGACACCCCCTTCCCAATTGCTTGCCACGTTTCAGGCAAGTGAATGCGCCCTTGCACCAGCTTGGAGATCCATAAGCCTTGCCCCTGCATGAGAAATGCGAAGAAGAAAAAAAGAAGGAACCAAAAAATCACCCAAACGGCACTACCCACTTGAAATGAGACAATTCAGTCTAGCCTCACCGCACTACGCTTGGGACCCTGTTATGCCGAGCCTTGGGAAGTGCCCACAGAGTTACTTGACCAAAAGTCATCACGATGGCCAAAAGTCTTAAGCTTGGCTCACACCTTCCAGGACCCGCACGCGGCCACAGCAGGTCAGGCTGCAACTGGCAAACAGTTGCGACTTCGGGTTCGCTTTGTGGCGGCAATCGCTTTTGCGTCGGAATACCTAGCCGACCTAACCAGAAGGTTGCGGGCAGAATAGGCCACGAGAAGAGGATGCAGAAGCTGTTGACATGGAGGGCCCAGTCTCTGTTGCGAGGCTGCCTCTGACTTTAAAAAAAATAAGCTCTCCATGGACGGTTCGGTTTTTTAACGCCTTGCTAGGATGCCATGGCCTCTCTTTGGACTCTTTATCCGGCAGCAGCCCAGCAGTCAAGTCCTCAGTGCCCACTTGCCATCTCAATCATCTCAAAGATCAGATGTCTTGAGCAAATGGAAATGATCGGGTCGCCATTGATCGCCTTGTAGCTTGCTGTCTTGTGCCCTTGGTCGCCCGGTCACCTTTAGCCCAATGCGTTTCACCCGTCTCGAGTGAGAACCTGGCAGCGCGCATTGGCCGGGGCTCTCATGGCGTGGCCACTGCCGACAAAAGCCACCTCTCTGTATTGGCAGTTTCCAGCCACCGCCACTCGTTACTGGACGTTTCGTGGGCTGCGTGTAATTGGCTGTCTTTGTGACATGCCAGGTTCCACAGCGATGCATGCTTGCTCGGTTTTGATCGGTGGCCATGCTGAAGTTCAAAATGTGGCATGAGTGCAGGTCCAAAAGTCTGTGATTGAGCCCGTGCGATTGAATTTGCCGTCAACGGCTTGAGGCTTCAGCATCAACAATGTCAATCTGTGCATGTCGGCATCGGCCAAAAACATGTCCACACGATGTGCCAAATTGAATCCCTGCTTGATCACTTTTTGCCGCGCCGTCACAACGAGTCTCTGGCTTCGAACAACTCAGTCGCAGTAGCAAAGCGGTCGGTGACCACCATACTCATTTGCATCGCAATTCACACTGCTTGCTGCAACACCCGGACTCCAATAATAGCAGTCATCTGCTCGCCCTGTAGAAAACGGCGTGCCTGCGTAGGAACGATGACCTGAAACCAATTTGCAAGTGTACCCGGCTGCTTTTGCGGCCGTGTCCATCTTCTCCGCAGTATCGAGGGATGCCATGTTCTCTTTGTTGCACGCTGTGAAGCCCTTGGCCTTGCATATGCCATTGCAAGTCTGGCCGTTGCTACCCAAGAACCAACGCACCACCTCTTTGCACATCGGGCCAGTTGCCAAACAATTGGGGCCCACCACTCCGCACGAAGCGAACATACCTTGGCTCCACAGCTTGTTCTTTTGGCACAACAAGGCAAGTTAGATGTCATCGCCGTGCGCAAAATGCAAGTTGATTCGCTACACAAGAAACACTCCATCGCACGTTGTCACACCCGCAGGATTCAATATAAGTTGCCTGGGGCGATCAGTGTGTAGCCCTTGCAGTTGTCTGCCCCAAGTTCATCACATTTGGCTTCACCTGAACAATGGCACTCTGTGAAGCAGCGATAACCTTTGCATAGGAATGTCAAGAAGCTTCTCTCAGCGCGTCTTTGCCGTGCGCGTGCTTTCCGAAATTTGTGTTGCCCTTTCTGAAAAATGTGAGAATGACTTGTCAACGCGGAGCGCCGTACAGGCATTGCCTCCCAAAGCAGGGCTCATTCGTGTCTGGAATAAGCTTTGCCTCGATCAGCTAAGCACCTGGCTGGTGTTGCCTTCCAATTGGTCAAGCCAATGCTTGCATGAAGCATACTGTCAGGTGAGCCGCGTATGTTTGGGTTTGCATTGCGCAATGAGGCTCTGTGCATTGCACATGCAATGATGACCAGATTAAGAACCTATCAAATAAAGTGTCCTTCCTCGAAAAGTGAAGGATTGCTTCCAACATGGGGCATCCCCCCTATGAATCGAGCGTGGGGGGGTGATTCTGTCGACATCCGGCTTCATGCCTGCTCGCACAACGCCGGAGCATTCCGGAAGATCTAGGTCTGGCTCTGTGGAGATTGACTCCTGCGACGAAACCGGCGCTCTCAGAGCACAGTCCTGACCTCATCTGACTGCCAACCCCCGTAGCACAGTCCTGACCCAAAGGGAATTCACCAGCACTACCTGCGCTGCAAGGAGAGCTGTCCTTGGGGTACACACGATGCCTCGATAATGAACATACACAAGTTCCGTGGTAACACGTCGGAGGATCGGGGCACTCTGAAAGAGCGGGAGTGTTGGAACCTTGTAACTTTCGAGGAACACAGAAAGTACGTAGAAACCCAGAGAAATGACGTGCATCGAAGTAATGGCATCTTGACTGAACCGGTGGCGGTGACTCCAAAGCCAAGGCACTTGGCAAAGGCCATTGTAATGCAACGGCTTGATAGCAACTACGTTGGTCAGATGCTCGAGCCACAATGCAACCGGTGACAAGGACCAAGCCGACTTCTCCGCCCATACCATTGCTCTGGTGTGGTGGGACTGTACGCCTGACATTGTTTGTTTGGTTGCAAGAGCTGGCAAAGCGCTGCGTTCCCCTTTTCTCCCAGTGGTACAGCGCATGTCTGGCAGACTGTTGAGCACCTGGAGCGCTCGGCGGAAGCTGCCAAACACGGTTCACTTGGCCCGAAAACCGGTTCTGCCGGGCTTTCCCTCGAGCATTACTTCAAAATACCTTGCCTGAGGAACAGCTCACCGGGATTGCTGCAACAGCCCCAGAACTGCGTGGAAATCTGGGCATTCATACTCAGTTACTTGCTACACAGTTGAATGGTTGGGTGTTCCCACCTCGTTTTCCAACACATGCCATTGTGATCTCAATCTCCTTTGGGGGTGTTCCTCCTAAGTTTGTATGTTAGCCAAAGAATATGTCTGCCCAGCCCTTCCGGTCGTCTTCTGTAAAACAAAGGCAGTCGCTTGCCCGTGCAAAGCATGTCATATTGTGACCTTGGGTCAGGATGGGATCAAAGTTGTAGGTGGGTTCAGACTTGGCTTGGGTTTTGGCTTAGGATCGGTCTAGGCTTGGTTCGGGTATTGGATGGTTCTAGGGTGTGCTTTCGCTCGGTATTCGAGTGGATTAGCTTGGGTTTGGTTGGGTTCAGGGTTGGCTTGGCAAGTTTAGCATTGATTCGAGGTGGCTTATGATGCAGGGTTTGGGCTAGGGTGGGAGCTGGGCAGAGTTCAGTGGCAGTTCTCACCCGAAGTGGCCTAAGCCTGCATCTCAGACAGAGGGTTGCACATACAGGCTTTTGCTTTCTGCCACATGCCGTTATGATAGTCTGTAACTCGAGAAAAGACCTGGAGACACAGACTGTCGTGTCTCGCCTCAGGTGCACTTGGCTTACTTGAGCTGACTGGGTCTCTTTGGGTCCGGTCGTCTTCGAGTTCTGGTTCAAGTTCGGCAAAGAGGGTCCCAGTTCGAGTTCTGGTTTGATACTGGGGCCAGGGGCTTGGGTTCGGTGAAAACAGTGGATTCACAAAATGTGGGTAGCGGCAAAAAATGTGTACATGTTTCACAAGCGCAGCCTTCCAGACTCATCCAAAAGGACGGACAGGAAGAGATCAACCTTGGTATGGGCTTCCCAAGGCGACTATCTCGCTTTTCGCTGTATCAGGTCAACACGCAAGCTATCTAGCATCGGCAACGTGGCGCCACTGCTATGTGCGGTGGCTGATTGGGAGAAGAGATTGAGGCACGCACAAAGCATCAAAGCTCTTGAGGCGTAGTACTGGACATCAATGTCTGGATCATGCTCCAGCCTCACGTTGACGTGAGCGAAGCCCCGGGAAGCCCGGCCAAAAAAAAAGTTAATCAAACCTGTAAGCCAGGAAACTTCTATGAAGCAGAACATGGTGTGCATTTTGAGGGTACCCTTCTGCAGTGGCTTAAAGGGAGACCAATGGCCACAACCACCCTCATTATGAGACCAGCTCACATGAGGAGCCGGGCTCTGTTAGGCAGGGCTTGATGGATGTGTTGATGGTCGAAGCACCCAAGTTGTGGTGCTCCATCCTGGCCAGGGGCCGAGCCCGTCCAAACCAACGGCATCCCAGACCAGCAGCCGTCCTGTTTCTGGCAGTGGATGTTTTCGGGAAGTTCTTGTAAAAATAGGGCCCTCGTTGAGTTTATGAAACCCAAAGAGAGCACGACCGAGGCCGTCCCAGGCATTCCGTCCCGCCCGATCCACAACGTGCGGGGCAGACATCCACATGATGGTTCGGCATGCGCAGAAGCGCACGTTGGGCACGCTGTCCTACCAGTCAGCATCTGCCAAGGTGCACGTTCAAGCAAGCACGGAGCGCACACGTCAAACCTGTCAACTGGTCGTCTTGCTGGGAAGAACACGCCCTCCAGCCCTGAAACGGGCGGGTGGTTCTGGGCCTTGGTTGCTTTGATGAGCAGCGGCACAATGTATTGCCCCAACTGGTCAGACCTCAATCGAATCGATCCGACAAGGCAATCATGGATCAAAGCGCGCAGGAAGAAATGCTGCAAGCACACTCCATGTACACGCCACGCCCCTCAGGCATCAAAATGCCCCTCAGGCGCCCTGCGTCATGACTCCGGAGACCTGCGGAAGCACGTGGAGCCTGCGCCAGAGTGACAGCCCCTGAACACCCCTCGCCATTCCTTTGGACCTTTGAACCCTTGGGCACCCGGCGTTGTGACACGGTTGGCATAGCCAACGCTACCCGAGTATTGCTCCACCAGCTTCGGCCTAAGATCGTTGGAAGCGTCAAACCCGCATGTGGGTCAAAATAGGGCGGTCCAACAAATGGTTGTCTTTTTGTTTCCCCTGTAAACTAGCATGAAAGGGGTGACCACTCCAAAAAGGAAACGGGAGAGGCCGAGATGCAGAAGGTGCTCCACGGTCCACTGGGATCCAAAGGTGTCCGCGATCTCTTTGAGGTGCTGAATTGCCGCCTCGCCGACATCCGAAATGGGAATGTGTCAAGAGAATCCACCGGTCCAAATTGGCAAAAAAAACATCAGGTCATGTTATTATCAACCTGTCCAAATTGGTTTGGGGAGCCCAACTTGATTTGACACTGCCCGGTTTGCCAATGCTTTCTTCACAGAGGTTGTCAAGTGTGTTTGTGCGTAGCACTATCAATACCTGGGTTTGTCGCAAAACTGGTGACTCTTTTCAGTTTCCAATTTGAGGAGCTCCCTAGGTTGACTCCCAAAACCCTTTGAAATTCCCCTCAAAACTGGTCGGCCAGCCGGCCTGGCGCACGGAGTGCACCGAGTCGCGCAAGCTGGAGAGGAAGATGGTCTGAGGGCTCGCACGCTAAACCGGGGGAAGCCTCTCTTTTTTGTTGGGTTTACAAGGGAAAACAAAGGAAACCTTTTCACCTTACTTTGGGAGCACTGGGTTGAGAAAAGGCCGGCGCCCGCCTGACAGCCCAGTTGGCATGCTACCGTGCAAAAGTGGACATCAGGTGGCCAACCGTGAGGTATGTTCAACCAAACTGGATGCAGCGTGGAAAAAGATATGCTTTGGGCATGAACCCCGTTGGTGAACATCTTTCCACCTGCTTGGATTTATCCAAGCTTTTTGGGCCAGCTTGCTTCCAAAGGTTGTGAGATTGTTTGCAAGGTTTGCATCTCCACACCAAGGCTCACTGACCAGGCCAACTGGCCCAGCACCCGCCTCCAGCTTGGACTGAAACATCTCCATTCCAAAGAGCCGCGACTGAGCAGTTGCTTTCATGCGCCAAATACAAGGCGTCGTGGTCGTTTCTGTGGTTGTTTCTGGGGTCGGCACCAGCTTCGGCACCTGCTCGACCACGCTCTGACCTCCGGAATCTGTCACTCTTGTCTTCACAAGTGAGCCGATGATTTCCTCAAACCTGTGTAGGGCAGTGCAATGTACATTCCCAGAGCCCAGAAGGAGCGACTTGCGGCAAATTCTTGCAATCGACGTTTTGCAAAATACTCTCGGCTCTGCAGGCTCTGAAGGCTCCAGGCGGATGCGCCAGTGATTGTCCATGATGAGGTTCTGCACCGTATTCAGCAGGGAATGGACCTCAACCAAGTTTCTATGGACCAAGTTTGTTTTGTTTTGCAAGTCCAATGGCTGAGCCTTCCAGGTGACCCCCTGTTTTGCTCCAGGCAAGGCTTATAGGTATCTCAACGCAGCATTCCAAAAAGCGCGATCTCGATTGTCAGTGCCCCATTCAAATCCAACCCAGTCCGTGACGCAAGTTGGAAGGACCAGACTTGCAACTGGAACCGGGCCCCTGGGGCGCAGGCCATGCCATCCACACTCAAAACTTCGCAAACGAGCCCGGCGTGTGAAACAATGTTGAGCCGCACGTCATGGAACTCATCCTTGCCAAGCGACCGGAAGAAACGGGAAGACCCCCAAAGTCAGGAACTGATCACTGAAGCCCCCAAAAGAACTCCAAAGTCCTTACTGTGGCTGAAGACTCCCAAGCCACCGCTGTGGGGGAGGGAGGGCGATCAGAAGCGATGCCCCCAAAGTTCAATTGAAAGCAGATCAATCAGCCGCAAGAGTTGGCCAAACTGTGAAATATCTCGGCTCCTTCATGAGGTCTGAGATAAGGCCTCAGCATGAAAGATGTGTAGAATTTGGAGCGCGGATGCTGTGCCATGACCACTGCTGATATTGCTTCAGAGTCCACCATGTCCTGCATAATCCAGAAATGCGACTTTGAACCATGTCCCACCGTCGATGCAACCCGTCATGCGCTCTCGACTTGTCAGTTTTTTGCTGAATCCGCTAGAAAGCTGGATGATTTGCTAGCAATCAATTCTAGCAGCTCAGCAGGTCAAAAATATGTGCTTTGACAACTGTTCTTTAGACAAAAGCCCAGAGTGAAGCGTCCAAATGGGATCAGTCATGCGGGAGGGCCCACCAGACCGCGGAGCCACTGACCACCCGGAACCATCAGCTCAACCTTGGCATTCCCGCTCATCCTTGGTATTTGCAGTATCTTTCCAGAGTCAATGGTTTTCGAAGCATCACCCCGAATGCCGAGAACGTATGTGTACTACGCACCTTTCACCGTCCTGCGTGAAGCCGTTTTGTGGTTGGTTGCAATCAATCCGTTACCCGAGGTAAAGAAAAGGCGGAACACTTGCTGCGCCTATTTCTGGCAAGGGGACTCCCATGCTACCTGAAGCAGATTTAATTATGACTTTGTCCCAGGGACCCCGCAACGGTTAGCTCCAGTATGGGTTCGGAACCCGGTTTTGTTTGTGTTGTCAAGAAACCGCTACGGCAGCTCCCCACTTGAACTCTGCGACCACTTTGTTAAACAGGATGTGAAAGCTCCGAAAGGGGTGGTTCCCTTTGGATTTCCAAAGGGTATCATTGAAGAAGATATCCACATCTGAGACGTGCAGCCGTTCAGACAAGGCTCAATGTGGAAGCCCCGGACAGATTGAGAAGCAGAACAGCACTACCAGATCAAATAAGAGCAGGAGCCTTTAATTGATTGTGATAAATAATTATATATATATATATACATATCTATTAATATGTATGCAAAAGAAAGCTATGTTTAGCAAGATACATCACTGCATTGTATCCTATTCTAATATGAGTTCATATGTATTCAATCCGGCCATGCCATAAAACGTGTTTGTGCAGCGCAACTCAAGGCTCCATGCAGCAAAACGGGTGTGTGTGTGTGTCAAAATGAAAATAGGCGGAGCCTCCAACATGATTGGTTTTCCTTTGGTTTCCCTCCAAACCAAGCCAAACAGCGAGAAAAAACACGCCCACGCACAGCAGCTGCAGGCTTTGGGCACGAAGGGCGAAGCTGGGAAGCCGTGCTCAGCAGCTGTCGCTGGGTAACCTCGCCGGCGTCAACCCGAAGCCATGATTTGAGTCGTAAGAAACCTGGCATTCAGACTCCGGATCATTGTCCCAGTTTCAGGATTTCCTTTCTTGAAGGGCACTGTTGCCAACAGAACCGAACATGGATTCACCGCCGAAAACACCGTTGCTAAAAGCAGGCAAGACTATAGAAAGACAACCAGACCACAGAAAGATTGTGGGTTACGGGAAGAGTACAAGACCATCGCACAAACACAGATTGCCGTCGCACAATTACGGTCGCCAAACAAAGCATTAGCCCCTGTCCATCATGAACATGTATCACGAGCAGAGACTTTCCACATGGCAAGGGTTTGATATACTTTTGGAAGCCACCCACAAGGCATCCGACGAACTTCTCGGAACGCGATCCACCCAAAAAGGGTCCCTCCCACTAATCTATCCGAATCGGCTTTGGTGGTACTTGCAGCTCATACGGGTTTGTCCTAACATCAGGGACCGACCCCAAAGCGCTCGGCTTCAGCAAGGTGCCCTTCAAAATCAGCCCAAAGGGGTTCCCCTTCAGAATAACCCAAAAGAGCCCTCCAAAAGGAAGCACGCCGATGCAGCCGTTCCCTCATGCATGTAGGCCACCATCCTATTCGTAGAATAGGCTCACCAGCAAGAAACCAAAGAGGACATGAGGAACTTGGATGATTCAGTGGTCCTTGCGTGTCATTCCACGTTCTCGCCACAACAAATGTAAATCCCCACAACTCCGTCATTGTTTTTCAGAGTGGCTGTGTACTTTTGAGATGACGCTCAAGGGAAACCAAAAGGGAAACCACCATTTTTGGTGGTCCCCGTATGACAAATGCTCTCTTATCCTTAGGCTCTAGCATCGCGGCCCAGCGCCCTGGCTACAGGGCCCAGGACTTGCGCAAGCGCCTCGGGTGTCCGAAATAACTGTAGTTCAGGGCAGCCCCAAGATGGTAACCGCTTGCTTTTGCGGAGGTTGCGTTGCTTCTCCTTGAACCTCCGATGGTTTTGTTGAAGCTCCGGTGGTTTGTCCATTGCCTTTTGTTGAAGGTCCGGAGGTTGTGTTGCTTCTCCTTGAACGTGCGATGGTTTGCTCATTGAACTGTTTGCTCAAGGTCTGGTGGGCGTTGTGTTGCTTCTCCTTGAAGGTCCGGTTGTTTGTTCATTGCCTTTTGTTAACAGCAGGCGAAACGGGTCAGGCATGAGCCGACTGCGCTTTTGAATGTGAAAGCAACAGATACCCTGTGGACATCATTTACGGTTTGACTTGTGTCATCCTAAAAGATGTTTCCGCTTGAACGGTCGGCGTACCTTCCATGGATTCCCGTTTAAAGCCCGGAAAAAAGGAGTAATCAACCACCTGGACAGCTGATTAGAAATAATCTACAATCAACCGTTTTGGAGCTCGCAGGTGCCTGCCTCACTTGGGGCTGTTGCAAAAGAAAACCGCTGAGCAGAGCCGACTGAACCATAAACTGCTGAGAGACTCAGCTAGAATTGGCAAGCCACAGGGGATGTCTAAACCCACCGAAACCGCGACATGGACGGAACGTCGGACCCCTGCACCAGTCAGTCACTGGGCCCCGTGGCAGCGCGCACGGACTGCGCGGAGTCCAGACCGAGCGCCTGGAACTGGGGCCTGGGAGCGGCGACTCTGCCAAGAGCGCCTTCTCATATGTTTCACCTCAAACATTTCCCCAAAAAATAAAGTTTTATGTTCCCTCCTTGGAATTGTCCATTCTCCGTTTCCCCAAAATGTGTCATTCATTTCCCCGAAAATCTTTCATTTCCCCCCTTTGCTCCCTGCTGGCCTGGTGGAAAAACAGTCATGTATTGAATCTCACGTCTGCCTGATGCACCAAGGCGCAGGATGTGCTGCTGCAGCTGTTCGCTGGTAAGCGGTTCAGGCCTGGGCGAGGAACGTGGGCAGCCTGGGGTCCTCCCCTCGTTGTTTGCGCTCTCGCCGCTTGGCACGCCGGGACAATATGCAGGTTTTGGTGCGCACAACCAAGAATCCTTGCATGTTCAGCATTCTGCTGTCCCCAGGATGAGGGAACCCCAACATGCATCTTCACCCCCACAAACATTGCACCCACAGCTTGCGAACACCCGCACGCAGACAATCAATTTCTCTTCGCTCTATTGTTTCTACGACGAGGAAACCGCCACAGGCATTCGCATGCCCATAACACCAGGATGACGAAGCCCACATTTACATCTGCCTGCTCAAAATGATTGCGCCCCCGTCTGCATCCACAACCGCACGCACAAATGACTGCGTGCCGGTTTACTGCATGCACGAGGAGGGAACTCACAACATGGCCAAAACAAACCACACCTCCGCATGGTCTGCATCCGCAAGCCAAGTGAACCCTGCATGCCCAAATGCAAAGATATATTAGTATGTTTGGTGGACGATTGATAACTCTGCAAAAGCCACAATTGCGCCTTTTGAAGAAGTTGAGCATTTTTCGCTCGCATTTGCGGCAAGCTGACGTGTTCGTGGCCAGCCTCCGCCTTCAGATGTGCTTTCTCTCGAAATCAAAGGCAAACATATTGATGGCATGTCTCAACAAGCGGCAGCACAAATTCAATTGGGCCGAACGACGCAAAGGACCTGACCCTGCCTTCCCTGAGAGTTGCTTGCTTTCTTTGGTGGGATCTAGAGCATGTCCCCCTGTGTAGGGCTTCTCACACCAGCAAACGCCCACCGGCGACAGGCAGCCGGACAGGTTGAGGCATGCCTCGATCACCCGCACGGCTTCCTTTCGCACCTCCTGCTCATTGTCCTCCGATGCGCGGCAGCTCTGCAAGCTCTGGCTCGGAGCCATCTGACTTCGACGTCGAGCAATTTGATAACAAAAAGATGGCCGTGTCAGCCAAAAATCTTAGGGGCAACGACCCATTCTGGGGAGAAAAAAAAAACGACTGAAAGCCAGAGTCCTTCATCAGCTGGATGAATGGCTGCATCAGCTTCTGTGCAGTCAGTTCTGGCCCTGCCAATGCTCAATAGCCACAGCTTACAGGACTCAAGGATCTGTGAGTATAGACAGCTGAAACATTCGACATGCTCAGCCCGTGCATTGGAATCCCCGCCAAAGGCTTGGCAAAGCTGATCGAAGTTTTTGGCCACCGTCAGCCTCGGGCAGAGAACCGCTGTCGACGCCGGAGCCCAGAATCCCATGCTGTCAAGCTGCCTGACTCGCCAAGATCGATCCTCGGCAGCCTCCTTGATGACTGACACCGTGTGCTGTCGGTTCCTTGGCCGGGGTCAGATGAGATTTTGTTTGGGCTTGAAGGAAAGTCCATCTTTGGGCCGAAGTTTTCGACGTCAAGATCTAAAAGTTTCCGCAAACTGCAAACCACGTCTGATTCATCTGAAAGGAGACTCAATCTTCTGAAGTTCCCAAGTCTACGCGAACGATGCTGCTATCCAACCCTCCCCTGAGGGCCCGGGCTCGTCTGCATTCAGCATCTTGGCAATGACGAGGGTGGCATGGACGCAGGCCACACGTATGGTGTCCTACTGACATTGAGGGCAACATGCCGAGGCTGGGTTTACGACAAGAAACAACAGCAACCAATAGCTATACATATGATTCAATGGTCAGTACAACTGCTCTTGTAATGTGAGGAGCACAACATCAAAAAACCGTGCTGCACCGAAGCGGTTGCCACAACCCGATTTCAGGAAACTACGAGAAGTGTAGTGTAGACAACCACCAATGATGGCTGAAATTCATCTCAACCATTTTTGTGTTGAAATAGCTTCGGGCATCCTGTCAGGGGGTCTTCGCGAACAAGGCTCCTGTGTGTCTTCCTGTGACAGCTGCTTGTAAACTCCGATGAGGTCTGTCAGCAAGTCCTCATCCCACGCGCTGGGAAAGCAATCATAACATGCGCACCGCGGTTAGCTGTACGAGAGCAAGGCAAACCAGAGCAAGCTTCATCACTGCAAGTCAAAGCAATCACATCGTTGAAGCTACGCAACCAAGTGCCAAAACCGAACTGCTTGCCAAACAAGATGAACCGCCCGCCTGCTTGGCGCAGACAGACACGAAGTCACGCATCCTGTGGGCTGCGGCTCGACGCACCATTGGCGTCTCGTCAGCGCAGAGCATTGTGAAGGCCTGGCGCGAAAATAAGGAGTGCCTGTGAAGGCGTACAAAGCATTCGGTTTGGGTGGCAAAGCTGATCATTCGGCGAGAAGCAGTGAATGATGAAAGGTTCAAGGCCATGATTCGTGGCTGAAGAGGCGCAAGTGCTATCCAAACCTTCGAGCAATTCCATGGAAGGCAGGAGGTTCGCTTGTTTGACGCCCCAGAAAAGAAGGATGTCCTCGCTTGCTTTCAACGGAAACCCCACCCAAACAAAATGGCACTGCCTGAAAACTGGAAACTAGAAAACAAATTGAAGTGCACATAGTCTTTGGTTTGTGAGGAACCCAGGGACCGTTCAAAACTGAATGTGTCAAGGAACTCCTTCCCAAATGGTTGGTGAGTGTCAAGTTGAATGAGAAAGAAATGTATCAAGATTCTAGTCACGAACCCGTCGCAACATAGTGTTTGGTGGCGAAGGGGCAATGGGGACAATGACTTCTTTTCGAGTGAAATATGTTCGACAAGCTGACCAACTAGTAGCCAGGACCTTAGGATATCTTGGGTTCATTCACTGTATCAACATGGCATCAAAATCTTCACGTGCTCAGACGTGTCAGCGCAGATTGTCCGCAGTTTTGCAGGTCTGAACTTGCTGTCGGAACGCCCCCCCATTTCTCCGGGCAATGTCAAGCACGCTCGCAGGCTGTCACGTGCGCCTTTGAATCAGCCAGCCCCAGACTTAAGGAACCGGTGAGCGCAAGTCGGAGGCCTTCCGAAGGCCAGCTTTCTGATCCTCCTTGACCTGAGTCGGAAGACAGCCCTAGCGGGATTCGGACACGAGTGAAGTGACAAACGCACACCAAAGGGCTACAGGTAGCCTTGCGCTCAAACCGCAGACTCTGGGCTGTGACATGGCTCCACAGACCAACAGACCATCCTTCCCGTAGTCAAAGGTAGCTGCCGCCCAGATCGAGTCCCCTGCGTGGCGATAGGCCAAGGGTAACAAGGCCTCGGCCAAACCGAAACAACCTCTTGCCATGTGCGAGTGCGACCATGTGGCTGTGGGTCAAAAATATGTACCCCAAATGGAACCCTGGTAAATGGAAACTTGGACTACAACCTGCGGTCCAATTCCTGGTGGCTTAATTTTGACTCACACCCATGTGGAACACGAGGAAATGGCGACTCGCCAGGTGCCCGGCACAGGCGGACACACGTGCTGTGAAGAAGTCCGTCTTAGTGGCGAGGCGGTGGAGCGTAGGCACCTGAGTGCGTGTCAGCCTCTATCTGGGTGTGGGTCAAAATTCAAGCACCAGGGGATTACAGGTTTTAGTTGGTTCCATTTGCCAGGGTTCCATTTTGCGTATCCATTCTTGACTCTTGATTTGGGGGGCGGGAATCATGCCGGCACAAAATATTTATCCTTGGTTTAGGCCCGGGGCCAAGTGGTCTGTCGCCAGCGCCGGCCTGGACGCAACTCCGTTGGCTGGTGAGTTTAGACCTTGGCCTGAGGCCTGGGTGGCACCGAAACTGAGCCAACTGTGCTCCAATGGAACATACAGAATGCCACAAATCCCGCACCTCTTCTCGATCACCTTGCAGAGAGATTGAATTGCCTTGGTGCAAGGAGGCTCCAACCAAAGTTTGCCCCCCGACAATCCCAGGCTGCTCTCCCTTGTTCAAGGCACGCAAGCGAAGCAACACAGAAAGGCGATACATCTTGACTCCTTGAAACATTGGAACTTCCCCTCTTTACCCCGGCCAAAGAGATCGTCGTCCCGATGACGTCGCATTCGAGGCCTTGGCCTGGTCACGGATCACTGTCTCTTCCTGCGCTGCGAGGTGCTCCAAAGGAGCAATGAGCCTCGCGAAGTGCTGCGGAGTCTCACGCACCATAAGCTGCGAGGGCATGGCATGGCCCACATTTTGTCTGTGCACTGAGGCATTGACAACTCATCGTGGCCATTGATGTAATCAGAAAGGACTGCATACTGCCTCACAAGCGACCGTCAATGCGTGAATTCCAGTATGCATCCCGGTCATCCCCTCGGGCCCACGGCCTCCCTGCACAGAAACCACTTCGAGGGTGGTAAAGCCCCTAGTCCCAAAGCCACCTTGCCATGGAGTACAGGAACTCATCGTCATTGCACAGCGGCTCCTCCTGCACAACCTGCCAGGCGCGATGGACTGGGGAACCAAGTCTTGCAACCGTGCCAGTCATGAGCTGCGCCAATCGGCGCATTTGACCACTGTTGTGGTTCCCCCACTTTTGTGCACGTTTCAGTGCGCGTTTGCCACGCGCTTCGATTTCTTGGCTTGTCCTTGCGTTCTGCCCGTGTTTCGCCTGGCAGGGGTAGAGCCAGAATAGGCCATAGGGTACAACTGCAAATATCAGGCAGAATTGCTGTTTCCACCAGGATCTCTAAAAAGGCAGAAGGCCCAGGGCTGCTGGATTGTCCAAATGAAGCTGGGATTGTCCACGTGTGTCCAAGTTCTGCTTGAGGAGAGTGCTTGTGATGAGGTGGCCCGAGTCCTTGCCTGGCTGGTCTTTCCTTTCCTTGTTGCCCCCACTTTCGTCCCGTCTACCTGAAACCCGCGCAAATGCCGCGCCGCACCCATTTTGTATTTGGCTGCCTAGACGCTGCAGTTCTATGAAAGCATTCTGCCCCCTCTTGCATTTTCTATGTTGGTTGCGCTTCGCATGTCCTGCAATTTAGTGTGTGTGTGTGTGTGTCAGTTTGATGTCTGAAGGCAAAATCCGTCCGGCACTTGTTTCAATATCCACCAACCATGGTTGAGGGGCTTCCCTGATTGGATTCATTGCCGCATCTTTGGTCATCAGGCTCCAACTTGAGTTGCGGGGCCTGTACCACGTACGGGATGAGCTCGTTGACTGTCCTCTGCGGGCCTAGTGCCTAGGTGCGGTCTTCTGTGGCAAGGGCCAACTCCTTGAGACCGACCCCAGCGAAAATGGGCGCAAAGACAACTTCCCTCAGCCTCAGAGTCTCAAGAAACCTGAACCGCTACTTGAGTGTGGCACCGAGGCAATGAGGTGCAAGTTGTTCACTGCACCTGCCGTCATCTTTAGCATGCCACCACATCGCCAGATCCGCGTGCATTGGTTTGATCTGAAGGCGGGTGTACCCAGAAATGACCTCAGGCCAAAGCCGATCTTGATGGTTGCATTCTCGTTTCTGATCTCTTCCTGCAAGAGGCTTCCAACATCCAGGCGGAACCAAAAAAATGAGTCTATCAGGTCAAATTTAGGAATCCCTCTTGGTCCATTTCCATAGATGCCTGCACTAAAGGCTTCACTGACCCCAGGTGCATCGGCCATTGCCCTTCCGTCCTTGAAGAACTCCAGATAGTTGAATTCTGCTCCGGCATTGCCTCCCAAGAGAATGGCTGTGATGCAGGCCCACCTACTCAAGAACACTCATTCAAGGCCAAGACCGTTTCGTCGCTGCTTGGCAGATCACAGAGCTTGCATACCCCATCAACTTCCGTGTGCAGAAGTGTATCGTCCCTTTTTGCGCTAGTGACCAGATATTGAAAAGACATCCGGCTACCCTGCAAGCCTGCCATGGCCCACTGAGCTCGGGAGGCCCGGCTTCTCACAGAGCACCCCAAACGCTTCGGGCCGAAGGTCCGTGCAAGGCAGTGCGGGTCGTATGGATATGCTGAAGACCAAGTCGGTGCAAGATTTGCCCTGCCTAAGTGAAACCTAGACTCAACGTGCTAAGGTAAGGCCAAGTGAGCATTTCGGAATCCTACCCTGTCACTCTCACCCAGAGCCTTTCTGTGACACGCTCTCTCTTGGCACGTCGGCTTTGAAAAAGTTGTGACGGTGAACCTTGGGCGGTGGTCCATCTGAGGGAATCATCGCAACAGTGCAGATACATTCAGTACCAAACTTCCCGCGTCACAGCTTGGGCGCAAAATCAATACTAGTAGTTCATGCCTCGCCTTCACCCTGCGGGCCCCAGTGGTCCCAAGCTCCGTTGTCCTTGCGCTGGGTGTAGTAGTCAGCGGCGCGCTCAGGGCCCTTGAAGGGGGTCTTGACGTAGTCCTCGATCGAGCCATCCTCACCCTTCTTCCAGGTGTAGATGTAGTTCTCCTGCGGCTTCGCGGGCTTCAGGGGCAGCACGTAGAGGCCACTAGGGTGGGACATCTCAGGGTCCTCAGGGTTCACCCACTTGGAGCTCGCCATGCGAGCCAGGGCACTCTCCTGCCTCCTGGGCACGCTGCCCGTGAAGCTGGGGCCCCAAACCAGGCAGGCAAGGGCTCCCAACACCACCACGGATCCTGCACGGCGGCTCATCTTTTTCTCCAAGCGCGGCACAGCGGCTAGAGGCTTGGGACTCTATCTTGAGCCGTGAGATGCAGCAGGTTGCGGGCTTGTTGTACTTGCAAAATGTGAACAGAAGTTGTTCGCGCTCAATTTCTAATTTTTGCATGTCTGGAAACACTGAGCTATTGCGACCTCTGTCAGTTGAATTGTCTTCTGTGCAAACTCTTACAAGCTGCATTGCAGTTGGAAGACCTTCCAAGGGGACCACCTAGTAGAGGGCTCTGCCTGTATGTAAAGCGACAACCGAATTGCACATCAGTATCTCGATGCAAGACCCTCTCGTCGCACTTTTCCAAAAACCTTAACGCGGGTGCGGCGCAAAGGTCCAACTTTCTGAGCCTATGCCTCACCCTCACCCTGCGGGCCCCAGTGGTCCCAAGCTCCGTTGTCCTTGCGCTGGGTGTAGTAGTCAGCGGCGCGCTCAGGGCCCTTGAAGGGGGTCTTGACGTAGTCCTCGATCGAGCCATCCTCACCCTTCTTCCAGGTGTAGATGTAGTTCTCCTGCGGCTTCGCGGGCTTCAGGGGCAGCACGTAGAGGCCACTAGGGTGGGACATCTCAGGGTCCTCAGGGTTCACCCACTTGGAGCTCGCCATGCGAGCCAGGGCACTCTCCTGCCTCCTGGGCACGCTGCCCGTGAAGCTGGGGCCCCAAACCAGGCAGGCAAGGGCTCCCAACACCACCACGGATCCTGCACGGCGGCTCATCTTTTTCTCCAAGCGCGACACTGCGGCTAGAGGCTTGGGACTTTACCTTGAGCCAGACGCACAGCAATGTCAGGGAAGGACGCACTTCTTCTTAACAAAGAGGTGGGCATCTGGTTATGCACATGCGCAACTGCCATGCTCCACACCTGGCCCCCAGCCGCAAGAGGTCCGTTCACCAGCGAATTGGCCGTGGGAATGCCCCCCAGCCCCGGCACCCACAGAGCGCACACCTTTCCACCGCAAGCCTCGCTTAGTCCATCTCCAGGCTTAGCCTATCGCTCAGCAAATCGCCGGCGCCTGGCACCCGGTTCATACGGCGTCATGGGAGCAACACACAGGCGCGGAGTTGGGCATCGGTGCCTCTATATCTGCTTTGAACATCACCCGAGCACAAGAAAGCTCTTCTCAAGTTGAAGTTTCGAAATGTGAAAACCGCCCAAACGGAAGAAGTAGAAGCAGAAGCGGCTTGGCTAAAGGACCCCTTCGTATCCTCGGCTGTCAACTTATGCAAGGCTGGCGCAGGAAGCAATCTTCGGCCACAGCTCGGCGCACTCCTTCGCCACCGGGCCCTGACGAGCACTGCAATGCTTCCTTGCGCAAGTGCACGCATGCATCATGCGCGAAGAATATGGGATGCGGAGAAAACCAGCGCAGAGACTCAGAAAGACAGAACGACAGCAAGGAGAAAACATTGAAAGATTGTCAGAAAGAGAAAGAGAAACAGAGCAAAAGGAACACAACGCAAATTGAAACAAAACAAACAATGACCAAAGAGTGAAAGGATAAGAAAGAAACAGAATAGAAAGACTAGGCAAGACAAACAAATAGAAGGTGATAAAACACGGAACAAGAAGAAACTCGATGACCATGCTTGCTCAAGATTGGTCGGAAATATCAGCTTCTGATGCTCTTCGAGCTTGGTTGGGAAGCATGTCTCTTATTCAAATCCGCCTGAATCGCAGAACCCTTCATCTCGCCCTTGTCATTCACGATCACCCCCGCATTGTCCTTCGACCAGCACATCCCCGCACCCCCCACGGTTTTCCCACGGATGCCAGTAACCGATCAGATGAACTCGCATGATACCAGCCTCAAAGTACACGAAGACTCCCTCTCGTCGTCTCCAGGCTTTCTTCTGGCGGATGACAACCTTGTGCCCACCAGTCCCAGGCGCGGAACAGGGCGCTTGCGAAAAAACCGCCGTCCATCTAAGGCCGGTGCCCCCTTCAGCACCTTCTTGCGCAGCTCCGGCTTGCCCTTCTTCACACTGCACAGCACCTCACACGCCAACCCGCCAACCCTGGCGCGTTGCGCGGCGCCTGGAACCCTGGGAAAGTCAGCCGAGGCCAAACGATGTCTCAGTGACACGCGAGGTCCCCCGGTGAGCAGTTGGGCAGCTTGTTCAAGCGGCCGCCAATGCCGATGACCTCACCAATCGGCAAGCATGGCAAGAAAAGAGCCCAAATACATTCCCAAGGGATGGAGGCTCTTTGCCTTCCGGGTCTTGCAAACAGCTCTCTTCTACTCTTGCCTCCTGCGACCCTCAAGGCATATGGGCCCCCCCACTGCAATGATGTACAGGTTCTTGGCTCCGCTGTTGTCCGCGCAGTTCAGCAAGGTACAAACTTGGCAACCCTGGGCCATCCTAGCAACTTGAAACCAAGCCATGGCACTGTGTGGTGCGTCTCAGGGCAGACTGCACGCTGTCAGCTTCTGCCAACAACGTCAAACCAACAAAAATAAACAAGTTATCCCTCTGCAATGGCTCATGGCATACCTTGACGTCGTGAAAGCAACCTGCTCTCACTATTCCGCGCTCCTCATCTTGCATTGCTTTGCTGCACGACCCTTCTTCATCGCGCCTCGGTCAAAGAAAGATATCGCTTCAACGCGTTGCCGCAAAAATCGGTGGGCTATCTGTCCAACACTGCCATAATTTCATAATCGACAATGGGCCAGCATGGGCAAATACTGACCTCCTCAAGTGCCAAATGGAGGTCTTGTAAGCTTCTCTGAAAAGATTAGCTGATTAACCCGCCCTTTCATCATAGAATCCGACATCTGCAAGCCGCTTTCAACTTGCAATGCAGAAGGGCTGTGTCCCAAAAGGCACCGAGAAACATCCGGGCCAAGCCTTGCCGAGTCGCTGGCAGATCTAGGCCCAAGGTGTTGTCGCTCTCGAGGCTATAATGCCCACGGATGGATATGCCATGGGAAATCCAAACCCTCAGACCATAAAATTGGTGGGCGGGTGCTTTGCGTTCGCTTCCTCCCGGTGCTTCCCACCAGTGCTGCTTTCGTGCTCTATTCTTCGCCTCCAGCTTTTGGATCCATGCACATCCAGACCGGAAACGGGCCAGCGCAAGTCAGAGTCCCTGAGTCAGCCTTTGGGCAAGAAGTCTGCTTGTTCACGCAATTCGAGTTGTCATTTCCGGTGGAAGCCCTCATGTGAGCCTCTCATTCTCAAAATTGCTTAACAAGGCCATCTGCAAGGACATCAAGTGGTCGCCATTGTGCTTTGAACAACAAGACAGGTGAATGAATAAAGTTCATATCACCCCCAAACGTGGAGCGCCGCAGCAGCGAGAGCGACCTTTTTTTCCCCATCAAACGTCGAAGCGCTTGCCTCCGCCGCCCACAGGGATTCGATCTTGGATGGCCTTGGCGAACTGCCAGATGTATCTCCGCCGCACTTCCTGCGGCCGACGCCGGAAGATCTTGCAAACTGACGGGTTGGTGCGGAAGATCTTGCTGGTCGTTTCAGTTCAGAAACAAAAATATACATGAGGGCACCATGCCATCTTCGTCAGAATTGTGCTGGAGGCAGCCGCCTCATCGCAGGGCCAACAGGCTTCTTTCATCAAACACCCCTCTCCGCCCCTTGTTGGCACCTGTTTGTGGCCATGTCATCATGTGTCTGCATTCAAACTGTGCCTTCGTATGTACATGCATATCGACAATTCAAAGCCTTCATCCCCTGTGTAAGCCTGTTGTTCAATCCGCAAAAGCTTTAGTCCTGGGACTGCGTGTATGGCACAAACTTGATGCGCGGCGTCTGCCCCAAGTTGACCTGCATCCAAGCTGCTGAAGCAAGCATTTGGGTGTCAACCCATACGGTTGGTTTCCTTTTGGTTTCCATCAAAAGCAACCCCTGAAAAGGTACCCTCCAAAGAACAACTGTTTGACAGATTGCCGCCGAGGATTCCCGCCTTCAGGGCCAGTTGCGACCTCAACTTCGGCGCGGCAATGTTGAGCTGCCGCTGCACCCACTCAGGGTCATGGTTGGAGCTGAGGCTGTACCTTGACATGAGAAATGTTTGACATCAAGGGTCCCCCATCTGAGCGCCCTTCCGAAGCCAACGGCAAACCTACGATTTTCGGGGGAGTTCTTCGGTTGGTTCAACAGGCTTCCCCACATATTCCCCCCTCAAAAACATCACCCCTAAGAAAAAACTCCTCAACCAACGCCTCAAGCTCGGCACCCCCAAGCCCCAACAAGCACTCAGGGACCGAAACCTAGGCACCCACCGCTCGCCCACCGACTCACCGACTCACCGACCGGGCGGCTGGATCTCCTGGGTGGCCCGGGGCTTCTTGGCGCAGATCCGCACGATGCTCACGGCGGCGCCGCCCAGGTGCTCGTAGAGCAGCTGGGCCGAGTTCTGCGTGAGGAAGGTCTGGCGAACGACGCGGTCGACACGGGGGAAGAGACAAAACGAGCCAGGGGTGCCTAGGTACATACCCCTTTTAATCATACTTGGGCAAATGAACCCAAAAGGCCGGCTGATGTTCATACCCCTCTCCCAAAAGGGGTATGTACCACCTCACTGCAGCAAAATGTGGGAAGAGAAAGGGAACAAAGGGGTGAGTTGGTCTTGCTGTTTTTTCTTTCATTGCTTGGACCTTTGGTGGGGAATTCAGGTCCACCAAAGCGAGTCTCAAAATAATCAGAACTCCCGAAATGTGTTCCTGACTCCTCGCTTCAAAGCTTCCAAAAAAGTACCCTCAAAGAAGGCCACGCCGACGCCAAAACTCCGCAGTTGTAGTGTCCGGCACAACCCCGGGCCGCCAGCTCGGCGGGCCTCAAGGCCCTGGTGGATTTTCACGCGTTGGCGCACCAGGCGTCGGTGCACGTGCCGTTGAATCGGGTCCACAACCATGTGGCCCACCTGCAAGACGACAACCGCGTTGAGCAGCGCTCGTGTCGCCTCAAAACCTGACCATGAGAAACCTGCAGACTGACATGCGTCCATGTTCTGGCCTATGATATCACTGTTACCAGAAATCTGTGACTGCTGACATAAAATGACTTCGGTGACTGAGCGCCTGGTGCAATGCCTTCACCCCCAAGTTCAAGGTCCACAATGCATGACAACGATCGCCAGCAAAATGGCTGGGGGGGCACACACGGAGAGAGACATCTACGCGCCTGCGGCTTGTTTGCCTTAACGATGCGTGCATTCTCCACCTTCTGCTGGCGGATGCGAGCCCTGCACGCAATTCGGCCGGGAGGAGTTTCAGAAGTCTTGTGTCATCTTGGCCATTCAGAAGTCTTGTGTCATCTGGGCCATGCTTTCTCTGTCTCACTTCAGTCAGGATGCATGTCCACCAGCCACTTTTGCAGGGTCGTCTCAACAAAGGCACCAAGCCCAAACTGTCAGGTTGCACTCCTGAAGCGGCTCTCCAGTTCGTCCAGGCGAGCGGATTCTTCCATTTTCTGGAGCTTGCGGCTGCCAGGGTGCACGTCCTCAAAAAAACAAAAGCAAAGCGAACGAACAAAGCTGCCAAGGGTCGCACGTGCCTTGCTTGGTCTTATGAGGTTTGCGTCTCAACGGCTCAAAAAAACCGTTCGAAGCCTACTTTGTGCCCGTGCTTAAGGCCTAAACACCACCCACTGAGGGGCCCAACAGGCAGACCACACAGACTCCTGGAAGGGCACTGGGTACATGTCTCCACCTGGCCCGGCGGCCTTCTCCTGTGCAAGGACGGGGCAGGACAACCAAGTTAGATCTGATTAGGCAGGAAAGTCCATGTCTATGCCCTACCTCAGTCCCTCTTCAGAGGCAACGCCAGAATGACTAGTTTGTGTCCCAAACATGGATGAGAGACTCCGCTTCATAAACTTTAGTGGCCTGCCTCCTCTTCTCGCTTCTTCCGCGCCCGCATGGCGAGCTTGGCATCCCGCTGCGGGTTCGGAAGGTCGGCTTGCTTCAGCCTGCATATGTCATTCTGTGCTAACAGCTCACAGACCTTGCCACTTGGCACCGCGAGCCAAGGGGCCACAGGAGCTTTCGGTCCATCATCTTCTTGCGCATGTACATCTCTTGAAGACGCTGCGCATCCTCGTGAGTCAAATCCTGGTAGCGCGGAGCGCTGCCGCCTGCGTTGCCAAGCCATTCTGCAAAGTCAGAATGTGGAACCTATCTCCTGCCCCTTGCCTGAAGGATAAGTCTGGCCCCGCAGGCTCTCGTAGTGGAGCCACGGCTTGGTTCTGCGGCTCGCATCGAAGCCCGCCTAGCGCAAGATCCCTACCTGCCTTAACAGTAGCACGTGTCGCATCTGGCAAGACCAAACAAAATATGTGGAGATCCCCTTAGGCAAAACGCGGAAACGCCCACGGACTGGGCACAAAGCAAACCTGGAACAACTGAATAGCGTTTGCCACATCTTTCTTGCCGGCGTTCATCTCTCAATATTCCCTTCAACTGCAACATCTAGTACTGCAATCTGAGAATCTTAGCTCCCTACACTTTGACGAGACACTGCACAAGGTCCAAGGCAACCTCCACACCTCATCAGCGTTGGGAAGCGAAGATCGTGCCACGGCTTCGGCAGCTGCCTCAACTTGCAGCATCGCGCTCCGCTTCGCTTGCATTCCCATCAGCAAAAAGCCACTCCATTTGTACACGAAAATAAGAACCAGCTTTGGCAGCTGACAACCTGTCCTGCTTAGCAGTGCTAAATCAATACTCCCCACAAGCAAAATGCACAATGCAAATGTCACCTGGACGGATGTTGCAGCTGGTTTGAAGCAAACAAAAGCATGCCCCCATCAACCCAAGCCAAAGCTTGAAACAGCTGACAACAAGAAAAACATGCATAGATTGACCTTTTGCACATAAGCCCTGAAATGCGAAAAGCAAATGACTCTTACGCCCCTATGCCCACCAAAACAAAAAAAGTCTTGGCTGCCGTGCCAAGCTTGGCCGGCGCGTAGTCCGCAGCCGGACCTATCTTCACCAAGGATCAGACAAATAATACAAAATAAAGATTTCCTTAGTTTCAAGCAAACATGTGCGAATCCATTGCACGTCAAAACAACTCTTCAAACCTAGGGTGCAACAAGTGAAATCATGATGAAGACACATTGGATCCGATCAACTTTTCGGGTGGCTCTCATCATCACGTCCGCCCGCCTTGGGATCGAATAGGCTTGTGTCGGCCGTTTCGCCTTCACGAGCCGAAGTGGCGATGTCCTGCAGTTCCTGGACAGGAAACGAGAGCTGTCGATGTCCGGCCACAAATCCCAATCCAAAACGGTGTTTAGTTTGTCAGAGCCGCTTTCCCTGCCGGGTGGATAACAATTCGTAAGCAAAGTCAAACTGTTGCCTTGGCCAAATGCTGCTCGTTGATCTTCTGCCAGAATTCTCTCCTCGACAACGGAAGGAATTGGTCGAATCTGTTAGACGACAATCAAAATGCATAAGCATTGCATCACCTCCATGATGCAGCCCGGGACTTACATGAATAGACTGAATACACGTCCCACATGGAAACCAAACCATTGCACAATACAATTGTGTGCAAAACACTGCCTCGCCTGGTGCCGATACAACGCGTCCAACGATTTCCAGGCAGCGAAAGATTACGAAGCACATTCATGGCACTATGCCATCATCAAGTTCGCAGAATGGCATCAAGTTGCTGTCACAGTGTTTAGATGTTGTGACTGTGTTGCATCGATGCGCCAAGTGACATCATGTTTGGTCGCGTGTGCACGACGTTGATTCATTTGGCACGGCATGCCAACTGTGCAAGTTACTGCGGTCATATGTTTCCTACATTGCGGTCTGAAGCCAAACGTTCAGTGTGCCGCGAACCTGCACATTCACAACAAGTTGAACAGCGAGACAAAAACAAAACCTGGATGTTGCAAGCTGTGAAGTAATAGGTACATAACAAAACAAATCATCGCAAAATGCAAACACGGGTCATCTTCACAATGACGCGATGACTGCAACGCCGACGACGACCACGACCACCACCACCACCACCACCACCACCACCACCACCACCACCACAACAAGAACAATCACGACAACAACAACGACAACGACAAGCACAACCACAACTGCAAACACAACGCCCAGCAGCAGAAAAGCGGTTTGTTGCTTTTTTCAAGCGCGAGGTGGCCAGTATATTTTTATTTGGTGGTGCTGGGGCTTGCGAGTCAGGTTGCGCGATGGCAATATCGCGGAATGGAAATTGCAAGCCCTTGAGGCTCACGACGCAGGACAAGCCACGCTTCTTGCAAGCTTTACTCAGCAGCCCCGTCTTTTGTTGCTCGAAGCCAAGTGCCCCCTGGATCAGCAAGAGAAGTTGTCAGGAACTGATGTTCTGTCAAGGAGCCAAGCGCTCTTTGCAGTCTGGCTCAGCACGTACACAAAAAATGGTCTTCCCACTTTCGCCTTCAAGGGTGGGTGAGAGGGTCCCAAGCGGCATCAGGCATCCAACATGCCAAAAAAACATGCAAGCAGGTCAAAAAAAACACCCAGCCAAACAGAGGACCCGGGTTTTCGCGAAGGGAGACAAGGCGGCTAAAACCTGCACCGCGCCAAGCTCTTGAACATAGGTTTCTAGCATACGGAAATTCCTCCACCGTCCCCGCACTGCAGTCTGCTCAAATCCTCATTCCACAAGCGGAACAAATACCTTGCACCACCTGGTCGAAAAAAGGAAGAAAGAAAAGGGGTGCCCAACACAACAGCCTTTTGAAGAGACAAATCTGGTAACGCCGCTGAACAGCCGCACCAAACTCGACGCTAACGTGGGCAATCTTGCAGACAGGAGCTGACAAAAGCAACCATGTTGGCTCGTCCAGTCCGACATGTTGGGTGTGTTCCCCTCTGAACCTTGTTTTTAGCAGACCAACCCGGATGTACAAGACCCCGTTCTCGAAATGATCCGAAGGGAGAGAAGTGTCCTTCCGACGCAAGGATAACTTTTCGGCAGGTCTCAATAGCCCAAAAAAGGCCAACACCAGAAGGTCCTATCTTGCACCAATCCCAGGCAATATACGCAACTAGCAACAGGTCTTAACTCCTCGGTTTTGGTGTTTGTGCGCATTTTGCTTTTGCGTGCCAACCAAAACTCCCCGAGTCCGGGCCCCTTACGGCCGGGGCCGGCTGCAGCTATTGGCCGGGCAAATCGCAGCCACCATTTGGCAGAACCGGGCTTGTTTGTCGAAAGTCTGAAAAGTCTGGACAACTCATGTGCCGGAGGTAACACTGGAAGCCATAATACGGGATCACCCAAGCATTTTTTCACAATGGCTGGAAGAATGCATGACGCAGCTTTTCGAATCCGGTGGAATTGTGATCAAACCGTTTTTGCACCAAAAAGGGTAGCCTCAGAGTCCGGGGAGTTTTTTTCCAAAAGAAGGCTAGTCGAGGGTCCTGAGCCTCGGAGGCGCCAGGAAGTCCAGCTGCCTTACAGCCGCCGGCCTGCCCCGTCTTGTCAGCCCTCCGTGCTTCGGACGGTCAGCTGCTGCACGTCGCCGTACTAAGGGTTGAAGCTCCTCGCCGCATTCGTCGGCGCTCGGAAGGCGTCCTCCACCGCCTTCATGCGCCAGTCCGTAAGGTCCTTGTTGTTTGTCGGCGTTGTCCTGCAGCAGCCGGAACTTGGTGGCCGGCTGCTTCTCCACATCCTCGGGCGCGCCGTACACCGTCTCGTGCGGCCGGGCGTTGTAGGTCCCGGCCGCCCGCTCGAAGTGGTCGCTCCACCGCCCTTGCGCGCCACCCTCGTGGCCAGGTTCTTCTTCAGCGTCTGGATGCCCCGGTCCACCACGGCCGTGGCGTTGCGGTCCTCGGGCCGCGGTGCACGGCTTTAGAACTTGTTGCCCAGGTCTGTCGTGACCACAAAGTTCTTGTCGTCCCCCGTTAGCTCCTGCGCGGCGCGCTTGGTGGCCCGGCCGACCGTCTCGGCGTTCTTATTCTGCAGAGGTTCCACGGCGGCCTCCCGGGTAAAGACGTCCATCACCACCAGGCCACACTTCGTCTTTTCCCGGGTGTTCTGGCTGAAGTCGATAAGGTCGACCTGCCAGAAGCCAACCAAACCCAGCCAGAAGCCAGCCAGGAGCCAACCAAACCCAGCCAAAACCCAGCCAGAAGCCAGCCAGGAGCCAACCAAACCCAGCCAAAACCCAGCCAGAAGCCAACCAAAAAAGCCAGCCAGGGTTTCCTTTGAGGGGGCTCGCCTAGCTGCCCCGGGGCATTTTCAAAAACCCTGGTGCGGGCCCGGTGCGGGCTCCAAGACCGAAGCCGCGGAGCCGGCCTTGCTCCAAGACCGAAGCCGCGGAGCCGGCCTCGCTCCAAGACCGAAGCCGCGGAGCCGGCCTTGGTTTGCGGAAACTTCTAACGGCCGGAGTTCGGACTGAATGGTACTCAACTGCGCTCGCGGCAGGAATCGAGCCCCGTGCGGAGTAAACATATGTAAACATGTTTGAAGGACCTGTCACCGGCAATACCCCGGAGGTTGTGGACACGGAGAGGTAACTGACGGCACGCACGTCACCGCAGGGCAGCTGGCCCTGGCTCTGACGCCCTACGCACAAGTAACAGACCTGGCGGTGAACACGGCAGCCTCCGGCAACAACGCAGCCGCCATCCAGTCGCTGGACGACCGGGTCACCGCAGAGCTGGCCTCCAAGCTGGACAGCAGCGCGCTGGCGCCGGCAATTGTGCCCCTGGCCATGGCGGCGGCCCTGGCCACCACGGACGGACACGCAGCGCTGCAGAGCTCGCTGACCACGGGTCTCTCCAACAAGGCAGACCAGTCGGCCTTCGACGTGCTGGAGGGCACCCCGGACGGCGTGGATCTGAAGCTCTCCAATCGCCTCGGCCAACAACGCCACGCTGGCCACGGTGGCGGCCAACTACGTGCCTCAAGACGGTGGTGGACCAGCACTCCCTAGACATAGCGGCGAGGGTCACGCCGCTGGAGGTCGACACCAAGGTGGCCAACGCTCTCCTGGGGGCCGTCACCGCCGCAGCGCTGGCCTCCGAGCTCGCAAGCCGAGACGCCTCCATCTTGGGGCTGCAGGCCTCCAAGGCGGACGCCAGCGCGCTGACCGCGTACGCCCCGCAGTCACCACGGCAGCCCTGGACGCGGCCAAGCGCGCTGGCCGCCCCGCTCTCGGGCTGGACACGCCGCTGGAGGTAGACACCAAGATAGCAAATGCCCTGCTGGGTCTCGCCACCGACTTCGTCGCAGCACAGCTTGCTAGCCGCGACGCCAGCATCACGGCGCTCCAGGGCGCCAAGGCCGACGCGACGCTGCTGGCCTCGTACGCCACGAACGCCGCGCTCTCAGCCAGCGAGACCACGCTCCAGAGCGCCCTCGACGCAATCCTCGCGGAGCTCGCCGCCCTGCAGCTTTCCGGCAGCGGCGGAGTTGTTAACGCGCCGGCCTGGGCGGGCTTCACAACTTGGGAGCTCGTTCGCGGAAGCAACGTCGTTCGCAACCTGCATCTGGAGGCTCCTCTCTCTGCTGCGCTGGCCAACGGCGACGACACGCTGAGCACGGCCGACTGCTACTCCGTCGCAGCGGCGGACGCGGCCCTCGCGGCTGCGCTGCTGGCCTACTACACCTCCTCACAAGTGGACGCGCTGCTGGGAGACTACCGAACGGGCACGGCGCAGGACACGCAGACGCAGGCCGCCATCACAGCGCGCTGCTGGCCTACTACACCTCGGCGCAAGTGGACGCCCTGTTGGGAGACTACCGCACGGCAAGCGCGCAGGACACGCAGACGCAGGCGGCCATCGCGGGCGCGCTGCTGGCCTACCGGACGGGCCCGGACCAGGACGTGTTCACAACCAACCAAATCACCTCGGCGCTGGTGGCGTACCGCTTAGCCGCCGACCAGGACACGGCAACGGCCTGAGCATCGCAGCCGCGCTGCTCAGCTACTACGCCGCCGCGCAAGTGGACGGTTTGTTGGCCGGCAAGCTCGGAGTCACGGAGGCAGCCTCGGCCCTGCAAATAGCCGTGCGCTTTCCGGACGACGGGGGGGCCGACGAGGTGGTGGCCGCCATAGGAGAGCTGCAGTGTGGTCCTGGCCACGCACACCGCGGGCGCAGTGAGCGTGGACGGCTACACTCTGACCCTGGCAGTGAACCCGTGGAACATTGCGCGCACCTACAACTTGACCCCCGGCCAAGAGCTCCTCTTTGCCTGCCGGTACCGGCTCAGCACACCCTCCAACTTCGTGGTGTAGACAACGTCTACGACCCCCTGTACGGCAGCTTCGCGGGAGACCAGGGCGCCTGGAGCACGGCCAAGATGTACTTCACCGTGCCGCCAAACGGAGTTGCGAAGCTGCACTTCGGGGCGCACTTCCAGGCGCCGGGCCTGCCCAACCAGACGGCAGGAACGGTGGACGTCTACGGCCTCCAGATCCTGGACGCAGGAGGAGGCGGACACGACGGCCTCGGCCCTGCTGCTGAAGCACGAGTGCCTCGACGGCGGAGCCGACAACGTCACGCTGGCCACCCTGGGCGAGGTGCTGCTGGAGCCCACCCTGATTACGCTGCGTAATTTCCTGGTGCGCTCCAACAGCCAGAGCTCCGTGGCCTCGGCCAGCTTCACGTGGGAGGCTTCCAGCTGGAGGGCTGCGCCATGACCTGAGCGCCTTTGC